CCAATGGATAGTGATCAATGCGGGCTGCTGCAAGGTGCTGCAAGGTGCTGCAAGGTGCTGCAAGGTGCTGCAAGGTGCTGCTGCACCCCTCATGGGGTTCTGCTATCTACCCCGCCACCTTGTTCACCTGTGCTGCCCTTGATGTACTGCTGGAGGCGTTGAAACATGTCAACTGAGTGTAGCGATGTGAGGCACCACTGCCTGCACGGTGCTGAATGCTCTGCGCCGCATCGCATGTCTGCTCCACTTGACGTGCTGCTAGAGGCGTTGAAGCATGGGAATTGATTGACTAACCATGGCTTAGACAGCAGCAGCAGCAACAACACCTGCAGTATGCTGCAGTACCGTATGTTGCAGTACCGTATGTTGCAGTACGGTATGTTGCAGTACCGTATGTTGCAGTACCGTATGTTGCAAGGTGCTGCATGCTGCTGCACCTCGCATACCGTAGGCCTCTGCTGTGTAGCCCCCCAGCTTTCATCGGGCTCTGCCTCTGCTCTGTACCCAGCCAGCCAGCCAGCCCTTTTCCTCCCCTCTGCTTGTCTCACAATGGGCTTACAACAAGTGGATCGGCCAATTGGTGATTGGAGCAGTCATGTCAGTGACTGTAAAGAATGGTTGCAGCAAGGTGTTGCTGCATGCGACACGCTACCTCTTGATATGGCATACGGTGATGGCATCCATCCATTGGCTCTATTGTGAACTTCAGAGCAATGTACATTTATAAGCTTATGCTGAAGTCACAAAAAAATAATGATGCATCTAATGCAGTCTCCATCCCTAGACTTAACTAACCCATAGTATTTGAATCCCTGTGTGCGTAGTGAATGCAGCAGCACTAGCTTTGCTACAGAACAGACATGATAGAAAGCTACTCGTGACACTCCCCTGATGTATAACTACTTGCCTAGACGCGAAACTACTGTAGGCCACAACACACAACACACACACACCCAGAAGCACAAGGCGTGCTGTATGTGGCCACTACACTACACTATTATGGTACATACCATGTTCCTAGATACCGGTAAGACCCTGGTGCCTGGTGCGAAGCTTCTATTATGAAGTCTGCACCATCATCACATCACATGCACCAACAGCAACACCTCAACACCTCCAGCACACATACACATACACATACACACGCACATGCACATGCACATGGGCGTACATATGCACATGCACATCCACATGCACATCCACATGCACATCCACATGCACATCCACATGCACTTGCACATGCGCACACACCCTTGGCACTACAACGCTGGCTGCTGGCAGGCTGAGCTGCCGACAATAGTCAGGCGACGAGACGGCACGCAGCCTCGCACAGACGAGGGTAAATATATGTGAAGATTTGATTCACCCAGTGTACCCGTCTCATCTCAATACTTCAGCGCCAACGTCAGCGCCAACGTCAGCGCCACGTCAGCGTCAACGTCAGCGTCAACGTCGCCTCTTCGTCTCCTCTCCGCTGACCCCCGCGCCTCTCCCCTGAACCCCACGCCTCTCTCCTCTCTCACACACCCGCTCTCGCGTGCGACGGCCGAACGGCTTTCCCGGTCGCCTTGATCGCGAGTTCAGAAAAGACAGAAAACGCCATCCACGCGTCGAGCACCGCCAGCTGGATCTGATTCCACCCGAGCCCCTGGCGCCACCACTCCGCCGGTCCCACTCGCCGCGGCTTCATCACCGGCGTTCCCACCAGCTGGTAATTCATTTCGTCTAGATCCGCCTGTCGCCACCGCTTGTTGTGGTAGATCTTCGCCGCGAGCTGTCCCAGCTCCACGATCCCGTTACATGGTAACCCGTAGTCAGATTCGAGCAGTTTCGCCGCGGCCTCGATCCCGCACCCGCCGATCGGCACGTCGGGGTTTTCGAGAAGCTCCGCGACTTCTTCCGGCATTCGATCGATGTAGAGCATTTGGAGAATCAGGCAGTGGGAGCTGTTGCTGAGCTGGACTAGCGCCACGCTGCCTTCCCGGCCTCGCGATCTGATTGGTTGACATTTAATGTCCATTCCGAGCATGATCCGGTGCTGGTGGCCTGACGTCACGTCCCACCCGGCGAACGATTGGACCCACTCGTTTGCCACGTCAGCCTCGTCTGTTAGGGTGACTGAGATTGGTGGTTGATGCGGATGCGGCTTCACGGAAAGCTTTTGCTTCATTGCTGACCGCTGGATTGGTGTATGTACTTGCAAGCCGTCGGATTGGAACCCGCGATCGAAACTATCCAAGAATGGGCCACGCTACGTAAATCCTTGCAAAGAAAAGAACCCGTGCGGACAGAGTTAGGCCACCAGGGGAGCAGAATTCGTCTGCCTCTGTCCTCGTTTACGACGCAAGATAACCGAAAGCCTCTCGGGGAACCTGTCGATGCAAGCTGGTGGTTCGTCGAAACGCTAAGGACTTCTCGCTACGCCTCCTGACAACCCGACCCTTGATCAGCTGAAGCAGATTCAAAACGAACGGTGGGTGTGTAAAATAAATTATCCTGTGTGGCAAGCAATGGCGGATGGTGCAGAGTTGGCGGGATGGTGCTGTGCCGCTGTGCCTGGTGCTATAAACGCGATGATGTGTTGTATGGTGTGGTTTGTTGTGTTGTGGTGTGGTGTGGATGTGTGACAGGGAGGATGACAGAATAGAGTGACGGGTGGAACCTGGTTGGGCGGAGACTCGAGGGCAACACGGAAGATGGGATGGGATTGGGCGGAACAAGAGGAACTTCTGTGGTTGCGACATGACGTGACTCGTGTAAAGGCTCGGTACAGATAACAGAACACTAAAGTCCATTAGAAGTGATTACTTCTGCCAAGCATTTAAACAACACCAGGATCTACCTTGAATTTGAAGGTCCGAGGATAACATTACATAAGGCCCTCAAGGATATTTTGTAACAATCAAGGATTTTTTTTACGTAAAATACTTACAAAATGCAATGCTATCTAATATAAGTGATACATACTTAATATATGTTCACCTGTTCAAGTTATTGCCATCGAGTTTTAACAAGCGTCAAGCTGTTAGGATAACGAATATGTTGAAACGATCCCAAAGGGACACTTGACAAGGATGTTCTGACTAAAAGCCACGTCTGCCTGCGTAAGTACAACCCGTCAGCACTTACGCCAACCATCAGCAGGGATGCTGGGAATTGTGATCGTAAGTGAGTCGTAAGAAGTCGTATAATATCAGTATTCGGTCATTGCGATTGGTCTGAGAAAGATGTGCGACCTGATTACGCCAGCACACAGCCAAACTAAGATTGACATTGACGACCGGGCGAGCGGTTTTTCGGTCACTTCCAGCTCAGCAAACGCATCCGCTTGGACTTCATTCTCTTGCAGGGTTTCTGACACCGCAGAAGTTCGTGGGCACAGTTCGAAACCCGATCGAGATCGACGGTTTTCGCAGTACCAAAGCTTCAAAGACCACGGTTGAATCCTTCGTGGCCAATAATAACCGAGTGAGAATGCTGCCGTGGCGTCCAGCAAGGCAGTTCTGGCAGCTAGAGGCACGTTGGCGCGCAACCCCGCGCTGCACCGATTTCTCCTTGCCTCAGACATTCATATTGGCATTGAAGTTTCCCTTGCCTTACATTCTTGGCCACGTTTCATACGATTCTGTCAATCTTCTCTTCATTACTGCACAGGTTCACAAACAAGCCTCACTCACCCAAACCAGCCCTGGCAAGAAGCCTCGGAGTCGCATCGACTTGCGTCTTCAGAAGTAGCAAAGGTCCATTTGAACCAATAAAACACTTTGCTAGAGTCTAGCACTGAGAGCGGTCACACCAAGCATGGCAAGAAACAACAGTGCAGTGTCTCCGACAAGGCTATTCGGAGGCAAGACTATACTTCTCCTCCTCGCTCTCCTCGTTCCCGACCCCACCGGTTTGGGGACCGGCACACGCGGCGCCGGACACTACCACGTCGCGGAAGCGATTCCCTTCATCGAAAAGTCGCAACGTAAGCTGGTCACAGCTCGCGTCGCGTCACGCGAAGGAGTTGTCAAAGGTGTGGGAGGCCTCACAAGGAGTTGTCAAAGGTGTGGGGGGCATCCATACATCGGCGATGACTGCTTAGGAACCGAACCCATTCCCCCACCCCGCCCCTTCTCCCACTTTCACCCTTCCTCGCTGCAGTCCCGCCTCTCAAGGAGCTATCGAAGGTGTGGGGCATCGACATCGTGAACGGCGGCGACTGTGTGGACTCGACTAACTTCCAGGTCATTCGCGAGTGTGACGAGGAGGGCTTCATCGTCTCCATCTAGTACGCTCCCACGGTGCTTGTAGTGATGATGTGATGTTCATGGATGCTGCTGCTGCTGCTGCTGCTGGTGCTGCTGATGGTCGTAATGCGCGAGTGCAATGCGGACGGCTTCATTATCTCCATCTAGTACGCCGCAATGTGATGGTGGTGCCAGTGTGATGATGATGGGTTGATGATGGTGATGGGTGCTGCTACTGCTGCTTCTACTCCTTCCCCCAATACTTCTCTCCGCCCTCTACTTCCGCCCTCCGCCCTCTCCTTCCGCCCTCTCCTTCCGCCCTCCGCCCTCTCCTTCCGCCCTCTCCTTCCGCCCTCTCCTTCCGCCCTCTCCTTCCGCCCTCTCCTTCCGCCCTCTCCTTCCGCCCTCTCCTTCCGCCCTCTCCGTCCTTCCTCTGCGCCGCACAACCCAGCGTCCATCAGCACACGCCACGACACTGTTCCAGACGTCCTTGAAAACCAACTCCTCTTCCCTGTGCCCCCCCTCTGCCCCCCCCCCTCTGCCCCCCCCACTCTGCGCCCCCCCTCTGCGCCCCCCCTCTGCGGCCCCCCTTCTCTGCGCTCCCCCTCTGCGCCTCCCCTCTGCGCTCCCCCTCTGCGGCCCCCCTTCTCTGCGCCCCCCCTTCTCTGCGCCCCCCCTCTGCATCACACCAGCCCAACGTCTATCAGTTCGCGCTTCGACACCATTCCAGACGTCATCACCAACCTCACACGACTCACCGCCCTGTGA